AACCCGGGCTTTTGATGAGTCTGATTTGGGAGGTGCAGGGCATGGAAAGCAGGGTATGGCAGCGTGTGCTCCTTTCTTTTATTAATATGTGCAAACCAACCAAAGATCAATTAGCTCAGTGGAGAGTGCAACTTTGAATTTGAAAGGCCTAATTAAGTTTGAGAACTTTGCTCTCAGTGGTGGGAGTATGTGAATGACTGGAATGAAACGGGCTGACCTGGGTGGCCTTCCTTAGCCTGAATTCATGGGGAGCTCATGGACTGAAAGCCAGTGTTATTTCTCTCCAGTCCTAAGTGGATTAATGGGGTACTCTACAGGAAATGGGAATCAATTAAGTCTCTTTACAGATGGAAACTGGAGTGAGAGGAGACACAGGTTGTGAGTTTGGTAGCATGCACTCGTGATAACTATGCGAGGCTGTAAGCAACTCGGCAGGCACATTCGAGCAAAACGTGAGGCGCTCCAAACTAGGGTGACCAGACGTCCCGATTTTGGCGGGACAGTCCCGCTTTCCATCAATTTGTCCCACGTCCCTTGGTGTTTTAAAAAGTCTCACTTTTTGGAAAGAATGCACGAACGGGCTGGAGAACAAGAAGGGAATATACGGTTTTCGGCCGCCATATGGCTATTTCGCCAGAATATGAGTTTTATATTATTTTTGTTAATTTTATAATGTTAAACTGTAATAAATAATTGCTGAGAAGTAATTATCGAGAACTGCTTATCAAAGTTTGCCTTGTTGTTAGGCCCTGCCTGCCCCGCCCCCGCCTTACAGATGTAAAAATCTGGTCACCCTATCCAAAGCTCACCACGCCAATCCTGTCAACAGAGTGAGACGTCACAATAATACAGCTCTTCGGTATAGGAAGATGAGACCAATGATGGGAAGAGGAGAAACGATTGGATAAGCAAATCAGAGGGTCTATGTGAAATCCACAGCATTCCCGCCATCTGCCTCCCCACCTCCTCTGAAATAGTTAATTCAAATAATGACAGAAAATTACAGAAGTTGTTAAGACCCAGCCTGCAGGGAAAATCAGGAGCAGCAGCAGAGGAAAATTCTTTGTCCCCTTGCCCACCCCATCTCTACAGGTGTGGCTGTTTGTACCGAGTGAAGTCACAATATTTGAATAGTAGCCAAGGTTATACCGAGTCCTTTCTAAGTGCTTGGCACTATTTCAGTTGGCTCCCATGAAATATTGCATTTAAACTTTGACACAAATCAAAAGATTTGGTGTCACTATGTTTCCTCTTTTAGGGATGAGGATAGTGCAATGCATCAGTTACAGGTTCAAGGTCACAGAGAAAGAGATGGAGCCAGGATGGGGCCCTAAGCCGCTGACTCCAGAGTTAATGTGCACAGCTTGGTGCTGTGGTGCCCACACTTTGTTCATTCAGGTATCACATCCTCTGGATCAATAGACAGGCCTTTACTTCTGTGTGGAAGATACTTTGGTAGTAGAGTAGCACAATCTTATGTGGTTAGGAGAATATAGGGAACCTTTGATTTTATTCCTTAAGTGCCCGGAGAAGACAACTTCAGTGTCACATAACTTGGTAGTGGTTAGGGCACTAGTGCCTGTGTCATGGATGTGGTTACTTAGCATGCATTGTACTTAGTTAAATTACCCTGATGCCTTTTCTTTACTACTCTTCACTACTCAATGAAGTGTTGACGTAATGGAATCGCTCTATGCTGAAAAAGTTTTTAACCTAGTGAGGTCTTTGAGGAAGTTAAAGAGATAAATTCAAAAGATTCTGAGATGATAAAAAAAGTGTTTTAAAAATACGGTAAGCTAAGGATATTGGTCTGAAGCTACATAGCCAGTTGGTTTTAGTGCCTGGACTAGAACCGAGTTTATGTTACAGGATATCCTATACATATTAAATCTGTTGTTAGAAGTCATCTCTATTTCAGGTTTGAAGATGATATTTTTTTTCCCTGTATATTACTTGGAAAGAGGTAGGATGATGAGTTTTCAAAACTCATTGACAGCAACCGACGTGGGGCTCATGCAGCCTTGCTGTGTCTTGATAGCTCTTGTAAGAATGCGGTGTGAAGGTAGCTTGTCTCTAGGAAGGATTTGCCATGCTAAATTTTAACTAAGGAAGTTTTCAAGAACCTAGATCTGAATATATTTGGGTGACTTGTATACCCTTGGAGTGGAAATCTGTCTACTCCCCCAAATAATAAATGGGAAGTCCTACTGGAGAACAGCACAGAGATGGATGCTGTGATGGGCTTGATGTGCTCATGCAAACAGACTGATAGTGACATTATAAGGAAGAGAAGTTGATTTCATCTGGACTCAGTTATAATGGGGTTTCCAAAACTTCTTAAAGTCCTGTTTTGGTAGTTACTGATGTACCAGGACCTTCTGATCCTTTTGCAGAGAGCCAATTCAGGGTCAAGTCCAGTCTTACTGAAACACAGTTGAGTGATTTTGTTTTTCGTGTTGGTGGAATCCCCATGTGAAATATGCTGGCAAGCTGCAGGAGTGGAGTTGCCTCATAGCCACACAAAAATATCTAGTTGACAATTTACTTTCCAATGCATTGCATCTACACAAACTCAACAATGCTGACGTGTGTCCCCAGAGAAAGAGAATTAGTAAACATCATAGGCTGTGGTTATTTTCAAATGGAGCCATGTTTTTATTTGAGTTGAGGTAAACTTGATGCCTGTTGCTGTGTTACAGTGATTAAATGCCACAAATTATCTGTGAGTGTTAAAATTTTCACTTTCTAGCATCACATAAGACTCATGAAATAGTTTCAAAGTCAAAAAATAAGACCTAAAAAAATCCTGACAAAGTAATGCCTTTTACCATATATACATATATATCTTTTAAGACCTTAAATTAATTACTAAGTAAATATTCTCTCCTGTTTCTCAATATTAGTTTTATCTTTAGTTAAAGCTATTCTGAAGATTTGTGGCATGGCATAAAGAGTTTGGTAGACTTACACACTTTCTTTTCTTTTTTTATTATTGTTGCTTTGGAAGCCAGTCGGACATATTTACATTTTCAGCTTTAGAATTTTATAACATAGATCTAATTATTGCAGCGCTGATAGTGCTTCCCTGGAACTACTATCTGTTTCAATCCCTACATTTTTTGAAAGCTCTGAGGGAGCAGCTCTCCAATTAGGGGTTTATCCATCTTATTAATTAGCTACTTTATAACAGATATTATCCAGTGAACTGTGTGTTCCTGTTAGGCACCATAAAGTTGGCTTGTTAGAGAAGATTACACGCCCTTTCCATTTTCTATTCTGTTTCCCTTGCCCCTTGTGTCTGAGTACAAATACATTCAACAACTACCCAACAGCACTGCTAATATCAATGCCAGCGTAGCCTGGGTGTCAGTTGTAGTAACACTAAATGAGATTTGGATTTGGAGTTTTTGTCCATTACAGTTTGTGAATTATGGCATCTTATTTGCATAAGGTGCACTTCCTGAAAAATGACTTGCATAGATTCACTCATGGTTAAAGCCAATGCATTACCAAATAGCTGGCATGGTGTTTTATCAACAGTATCTTAACATAGTGAATATACTAAACGTACATTCCTGTCTTTAGATGAACGTTTCATGTTGCCTGTACCAAAAATGAGATTCAAAGATGGTTTCTGTGTCAAATCTGTTTCCATAGTTTTTCCAGGAGAAATCTGAAAGAGTGAGTTGACCAGGAGGGACTCCACCGAAGGAATGTCCCATGTCTGAATGTGGAAAGAGAACTGAAGTCTGCCTTTTGAAATTACAAAGGCACTATAAAAACCACACTGCCCCCTGCAATGCTAAGCCTTGAAAGGTCCTTGAATTTGGACAAAAAGTAATTCACTATAACCAGCTGGAGCATTGATAAGAGAAATGTCAGCAAATTCCCTCAACCACTGAGGACATGAATGGGGGTTGAGGAGCCACAGGACAAGTATACAGGAAATGCACACACAAAAATGCACCAAGCTTCTCAAAAAGAAATTTTGCAGTAAATGAGTACACCTTTAGACTTCCAAGAATAATGATAATTATTATGAATCCCAGTTTTATGAATGAAATAGAGTTCAGAACTTAGGATACTCCCTATAAATTCCATCAGATCAGGACTATCACAAATGCCTTCTTCAGGTCCTTCTGCTCCATAAAAGGCTGCGTTAATTCTGTAATGCTACTCCCTCCAACAAAGTTGAAAGGCACCATTATAATATTCAGACAGCATACATTTGAATGTTCTTATATATATAAATACTTATAAAAACATTTTAGGAAATATTGGATTTCAAATTCTGCAGAGTTCTGACTTCTATTCTCACTTTAACTTCATTGCACTTCTAAGAAATTGACTCCAGGGCAGGGTGGAAATGAGAGGTTGAAATAACTGGCAAGTCCCACTTCCTGCATCAATTCCATTTCATTTCAAAATTTCACTGAGTGGGAGTAAGTCCAGTGTGGAAGGCTCTCTTTACCACTTATAGTGGTCATGTTTGGCTTTTGATTGCATTCTTACCATTTCCCCACGTGGGCTTTGAATATCGGATTAATGCGGTTAATGCACTGAATGGACTGTTTGACAATCTCATTCAGGCCTTCCCAATAAAGCAAGAGGCAGAGAAAATGTAACTGCCTAAAAAGAAATCAGGGTTTGGAGAAAAATGTTTCATAGCCATAGAAACTAAAATGAGCCAATCCTTGACTCCAAGTTTACACCTCTGATCAGAGAAATGTGCACAACCATCCTCTTGCCTTTTAATATCACACAGCAAAAATATTTTGGTGTAGGGTTTCAAAATGCAGAAATGTTTTTAAAGTTGTCTGAGGATGTACTGCAGAGCCTCAACAGTATTTACCTCTGCAGGGAGATGTGAGAACCGGGGTCTGGAGTTCTGAATTATTAAACATGCTTAATGTTTGATAAAGAAGAATGTCTGAAGACCGTTGTGACATTAAAGACTAAATTTAATAATTGCCTTAAAATTTTTTTTTTTTTTATGCCAGGTGTTCCAAAATTTCCAAAGGAGAAAATTGATCCTCTGGAAGTAGAAGAGGGAGACCCAATTGTCCTTCCGTGCAACCCGCCCCAGGGCCTCCCTCCTTTGCACATTTATTGGATGAACATTGGTAAGAAGTGCTTCTTTCCATCAATAAGGGGGAATTTTAGTCTCATTCATTTATAAAGAATATAATGAAACTTGAGGTAAAATAGTCATTGTGGTTATGAATGTGAAATCAACTAGATTTTACAAATCAGATTCATTTAGCCCTAATATGCACTGAACTGGGTACGTGAAGACCACTAACTACATCTCCTAATTTTATCATAGTTGGAAAAAGGACAGCCTAGTCTATGAGAAAGCATGTCTATAAAGAAACTACTTTCTATATTCCAGACAAATGGACTTAGCTTTGGAATATAGTACTTGTATAGTTGAGGATGGAGGATGTGTGTGTTGCTAGCTTAATATTTCTATTTTAGTAATTTCTACATGCTAAATGCAATGACTCACCAAGAAATTAGAATTAACCTTTGAGTTTACTTTTCCCCAAATCTTGGCCGATTCTTTATTTGAAACCCTAGATTCTTATAAAGTCCAGTCTGAACGTGTGCCTTAGCAGTGCTGCCTAAATATTTTCTCACCCTGACCCACGCAGAAATATGCTATTTTTACAGCACTCAGAAGGAAGCCAATGAAGCTTCTCTGGGCTACAGACCAATGTTCCAGATTCCAGTTCCCCTCAAAATTTCCTGGCTGCATTTAGGACAGGGAGATTAATATTACAGACATAACTTTTGAAGAGCTCTGTTGTAATGGAATATGATTCTATGAAAAGTAATAATTAAGTCACTATCTGAATTGACCAGTTTTCAGTTAAGCTAATGCAGATTCATGGAGCAGAGGTAGAGAAAGTTTATGCTGTGTGTCCACCCCAGGACCTCTTTGATTAAAGTAAAAAGTATGCGCCCAGAGGTTTTGTGGTTGCTGTTTCCTTTTTTACTTTTTGCTCACCCATTGCTCCTATAGTAGGACCAGACTTGAAAGGAAGAATAGTAGAAACAAAAAATCAAATCAAGTGAAATAAGGCTAGCATTTTGAGAGGCTAGGGTGGGAGGATCATTTGAGCCCTGGAATTAGAGACTAGCCTGAGCAAGAGTGAGACCCTGTCTCTACCAAAAATAAAATAAAATAGAATCGAAAACTTAGCTGCTTAGGATGGTGAGCACTTGTAGTCCCAGGTACTTTGGACACTGAGGCAGGTGGATCTCTGAGCCTAGGAATTTGGGGGTGCAGTGAGCTATGACGTTGCCACTGCACTTCCGCCTGGGACAACAGAGAAGGATCCTGTTTCAAAAAAAGAGATAAAAGAAGGGAAACAAGAGAAAGACGTGACACACTAAGGGACATTGCCTTTTTCAATGACAAGATATTTCTTTTCAGAATTAGAACATATCCAACAAGATGAAAGAGTATACATGAGCCAGAAGGGGGATCTGTACTTTGCAAACGTGGAGGACAAAGACAGTCGGAACGATTACTGCTGCTTTGCTGCGTTTCCAAGATTGAGGACTATTGTACAGAAAATGCCGATGAAACTCACAGTGAACAGTTGTAAGACCAAATAATTTATCGTTCCATCGTGGATGCTGAATGCAAATGTGTCTATAATTTCCTTTAGGCTGAAGTCATTTAAAGCGGGGTTGATATTTTCTGCCGTTGTTTAGCTCAACTCTCGAGGTTTGATCCACATGAAAGAGATGTCAGCAGCTGCAGAGCCACAGTCACCCTGCTTCTCCCAGCCAGAAAATCAAATCTCAATTCACGGGACAAATATATTTCATCAGAAGTGGGCAGATCTAGTCATTTTTGGCATGTGAAATATACAGTGAAATCCCAGGGTTTTCTAAACAAGTCTTGGGCATTGATTTATTAGGACCTTGGAGAAAGCAGGCGACTAAACTGGGGGAGATGATAATAAAGTCAAAAATAAAAAGAATCAATACCATAATTTTTATCACATCAAGCTTTTTTTTCTTTTTGTCCGTTCCAAATTGGCAAAAAATATTTGAAGAGCTCTTCTTCCCTACTTGATCCTGCAGATGCTAGTTTGAGTTCCCAAATGGAAAAAGTCATTAATGGAGCTGAGTGCCATAGCTCAGTGGTTAGAACACTGGCCTGCAGGGGCCATGGGTTTGAGCCTTGCCTGGGCCTGACTAAATAAATAAACAAAGAAAAGTAATTAATGGAGGGAAGAACCTTAAGATTCAAAGGGAAGCAATAATTCCCAGCAGTTCCCAACTGACAGAACGATTGGCCTTGGCAGTTGAAAATTGGCATTCCCATTTCATTGTCTAATTTGGTCCATGATTTTCTTCATTTGTATGTGTAGATACACCGTGCCAGGGCTTCACTATAACATTCTTGTAGTGGACGCAATTCTTTAATGGATCTGTAACTTGAATTCTCTCGGCTTGGATTCATCTGTGGTAATTCAAGAGTAAATGCATTCTGAATTTTTTTATATATGAAACGGTTTCCCCCCACTCAGTGTTGTAGTGAAGCACGGTTCTACCTCATTTATAATTTTCTAAGAGAAGGATATGACTTTACTCCTTGTTGATATCAGCATCTACCATTTCATTTGTGGTTTTTTTCCTTCCATTTTTTTTTTTATTTCAGTAAAGCATGCTAATGACTCAAGTTCATCCACAGAAATTGGTTCCATGGGTAAGTTGAACACGTACAGAGTGTTGATGTGTTTTTTTTTTTTTTCACCTTAAATAGTTCATTGTCATTTCAGAATTTGAATTTGAATTTTTCCTTTAACGCCTTCATGAGGTTATTAACATACTAATATTTCTGTTAAGGAATACCCTTTAGCATAAGGGTTCAATTATCCTCCTTCCCCTTTACAAATATGCAAGGAGAGTCATCTTTATAAATATATATAATTTAACATATGATTAATATATAAAGAGGTAGAAATAGATATTTAATGGAGTAATTAATTTGGGTCTCCTAAAATTATGTTATGGTATATAAGGTTGATAGTTTTATATGAAGAAAAAAATAGTTAAGTATTAAGAGGAGTAGAAAAAGCATTGGACTTAACAAAGTTAAATGGAAATTTTTCTTGCAAGACTTCTTGGACTATTTAACATGCAAATGTACCTTATGACTCTCTGATAAAGAATATAGTTTGCGGCATTTTGCAAGCTCATTTGGCTGTGGAACCTTATTTATTTATTTATTCATTTTCCATAGAATGTCTACCAGCACTTGTGTTCTATAGAAGATGCCTGAGTAAATCTGAACTGTATAGTAGCCTAGGGTTCTATAATGAGAAGAGTCCTTTACATGAAAGCATATCTTGTGGACCAGTGACTTAACGTAAACATCTCATACACTGGCTACATCTGCAGAGGTAGATGAGGCCTCCTCTTGGAGAACTGTCGGTTTTAAGTGGATTATTGTATCCTCAACATAATTCCCTTTGAGATAAACATCATTGCACACGATACACATTTAACAATTGTTTTTCAACAAATAAACACCCATAAGGAGGTAGATAGCCAGGTGGCCACTGCTTTAAGTGCCTTTCACACTTCTCCTCTGATAGTAGAATGTCAGCTGTTTATTCTCTTTCCATATCACCTCAGATCACACTGATGTTGGGTGAGCAAAATGATTTATGTAAACATTTGGAAATGAAGTCAAAATTTGCAGTGAAATAAATTCTTTTAGTTTGCCATTGTATTGGAAAATTATTCTTAAGCAAGTAAGAAATGAGACATTTCAATCAGCTGTTGGGGGGAATGCTTGCTAATTATTTCCTAAAATAAGGTCCTGAGATTATAAATAGGTACAGTTACCTAAAACACTTGATAAATTCATAGATGCCCAATATCTAAGCAGTCTTCCTCAGTCAGAATTTTGGGGTGCAGGTCTTGTAAAGCTGTGTTTTTAATAGAAATCTCATTGCACACTTAAGTACATTAAATTAAAACAATGCATATAGCCAATCAAGTACGACCAGGTGTGATTAAAGAGTAAATTATGAAATCATGGACAGCATCAAGGAATTATTTATCTTGAATAATATATGAACTTTTAAATTAGAAGATGGGGTTTAAATCACAAGCTTCGTAAAGCTTGGTGCTACGTTTAGGAAACGCATCAGAGGGACAATCCATGATTCATGGAAAGAGGAGTCTCTTTAAATGGAAATACATTGAAATGTGAATGTACGTACATGTTTGTATATACATACATACACACATACCTATGTATGTTTCCAGAAAGATTTCAACATGACCAGGTGTGATTAAAGAGTAAATTATAAAATCATGCACAGCATCCAGGAATTATTTATCCTGAATAGTGTATGAACTTCTGAATTAGAAGATGGAGTTTAAATCATAAGCTTCATAAAACTTGGCGCTACATTTAGGAAACTCATCAGAGGGACAATTCACGGTTCATGGAAAGAGAAGAGTCTATTTAAATAGAGATATATTGAAATGTGAATTTACATATTTGTTTGTATATACATAATACACATATACCTATGTATGTTTCCAGAAAGATTTAGCACCATGGAAGGTTATCTTAGCTTGGAAAAAACATCTGACATTTCTTTTCTATTTTGTAGCGAATTCAATCAAGCAAAGAAAACCCAGACTGCTGTTGCCTCCCACGGAGAGTGGCAGTGGCAGCAAGTCTTCGGTCACTGTCCTCAAAGGGGACACCCTGCTGCTTGAGTGTTTTGCTGAAGGCCTGTGAGTAACCTGACTCCTGCTCTGTGACTCTGTCCATTCAGGTTTGAACAGAGTCAGACACCAATTAAGAAGGCGCTTGCATGCACATTTTTCAGTTATTTCTCTTTTTTCAATATAAATCCTGTTACTATATTTCTGAAGGAAGTAATTTGTACTTCATTTTAGCTTCAGGAAGTAACTAAGATTGACTTAAAATTAGATCGATTAATTGTGATACTGTCGGGGGAGGGGGCAATGTCAACATTCCCCTTAGCTAAATCTAAGGCCATTCTTCAAGTGTGAGGTTGTTGGCCCTTGGCCATCGCTATTGGTGCCTGGTATTCTGCCTTGTCCCGCTCCTGCATCTAACACTATTAGCTCTTCTCGCTTGTCAGGTTCCCAGGAACACAATTTATCTTATATCTTACCCTGCTGTCCTCTGTATACAGGGAGGACCAGACTGTGTAACTTAAAGAGAGTTTCACATCAAACCCTAATTAACTGAACTTTCTTCACACCTGAAAGTGCAATGCACTTTTCAAATCTTCCAAGAAATCTGTAAGGGACCTTACTGGGCCAGCCCTTGAAATTGTTACATATGTTAACTACTGTAAGTCCATGGAAACAGGGACTGTCTTATTTAACATTTGGTCATGCAAGGTCTCCTGTTTTTACTACTATGTGTCAGAACTTACTACTTCTCCCTAACGTGGGGAATACCATGGAAAAGTGTATTTCATCTTCCTGCACTAAGTTTACTGATTTGAATCATCCCCTATTGGTAAGCCGAAGGCTTCTGGGAGTCAGGTTAGTAAACGAATGTATTTGAAATTTTAGAAATCACACTCATTCATAATTCAGTGTATTTTCTGAATGACTAGTTTTAAATTAGATCATGAAGAAAAGGAGCAGAGTTTCATGGTTCTACAGGCCCTAAGCTTTCTAAATTTCTCTTTCTGTCCAGAAAAATACCTAGGTTACTTTTCCATAGTAAATTGCCAATGTCTATTGACATAAATTAGTTCAATGTGCCATGACATGGCCTCTGCTCAGGAAGTCTTATCTTTGTGTTATTCTAGAAGACGTAAGCCTCGTGCTCATTTTGAATTATGCTGTAACCACCTGGTCTACTAGTTGTATTCATATGTGTTTTCAGTGGTAGAAATCATGTTCTTTCAAGGTTCATTACTATTTTGAGTCTTTGGGCAGGGCAAATCTTTCAGTAATTCTTTTCTCTTACTTCTTACAAATGTTATCATTTACCTCCTGAATTGGCTGGCAACTGCAGAGATTGCCTACAGAGTAATAGTAATGCTTTCACGTACTTGTAAGATGCAGTGCCATGAAACAATATATAAGAGCCAATAATTGTCCTTGGCACATGCAAATTTCTGATGTACCCTTGTAAGAGTTTTCACCTGCTGTGTTTTTTTCTAACTTGCATTGAGTTTGTGTTGGGTAATCTGGTTTTCTTTTAGATGAAGATGATATATTTTTTAAAAGTTGTTTAGAGTCCATTAATGCACTGGTTCTAAGATGTTTTTAAGCCATAAAGCTTCCAAATAACAAAAATAATTACAGCTAAGATTTTGTAGGAAGCCCATTGCTTCCCTGAAGGTTCACTGAAAAATCACTGACATGAGGTAGACGGATTAATAGGAGAAAAGGCAAGCACACTTTTAATGTATGTACCCCAAAACGTTCAGAATGAAGGCCCAAAGAAACTGTCCATTTTTACACTTATGCTCAACCAAGTACAGACAACAGTGTGGAAATATGATTGGACAAAAAGGACAGGATATAAGGTAATAGACTGAGAGAAATCTCAGCAAGAACTGTTCGGGTGGGTTCTTGCCGGCCTCTCGGAGCAGCATTTGTCCTTCTGGGTGTGGGGCAGGACCGTCTCTGGAATGGGCCTCTTATGGCTTACAGTCAAATAAGGTATGTCAGATAATTTATGTCCAGGTTTTAATGAATATTTTTAGGTTTTATGGCTGGTTTTTAAAAAAAGGGGGAGGGGGTTTCTTGTTTCTATAACCTGCCTTGGGGAAAAGGAATTCCAGTTTCTATGGGTAGCATCAGAGAGATGGGGGACAGGAGAAGGTCCGAGAAAAACCTTTGCTTCTGAGGCTGCTTCGAAGGCCTTCATGCTGGAGTACTGTTTTCTGAGCCCAATGACATGGTGCTACTATTTTGTGTCAAGCAAGTTGTTTTGCACTTTACGTACAATTAGCTGAGTTTATCCTCACCACACTGGATGACTAAGCAGGAGGTTAGGTACGTGAAGTCCAGGAAGTTGAATTCACTTCTTCTCTGAACTTAATGTAAAGTGAACTTGACATTCCATTTTGTCTGGTCCCCCAAACCCTAAACTACCTCTGAATTAAACTTAACTTCAGCAGAACATTGTAGCCAAATGAACAGTTTGGTTCAGCTTAGGTGGGGCGAGGGGAGGGACACATCAACTAAATACGAATGATATTGCCTCGAATCTAAAGTTTCACACAGCAGATAGAGTTTAGCAAATAGTAATAAGTGTTGGTATTAATGCAAACAGGTTACCTTTCAAAGGGATACTCACAGTAACTGGCTTAAATTCTATAGATTCTGTGAGTAAGGTAGAAATTGGGAACAGTTAAAATGATATTTTGAATCTCATTGGGAGAGGAAGCTGTGTATTCCTCAGGAGAGGTGCAGCAAAGAAAGAGTCCTACCTTCAGTGAAAAGATCACATCCACACACCAGTTCATGCTCACCTACAATTTGTAAAATAGCCATTTCTGTGCTGCACAAATTGTACGTGTGTGTGTGAATTCATGAATTCTGTTAGGTATGATTCTATTTGAGGATACTACTACTTTATAAACAAAGAAGTATATAAATAGCTGGACACTGTGGCTCATGCCTATAATCCTAGCACTCTGAGAGGTCCAGGTGAGCCGAGGGGTCAAGAGTTCCAGACCAGACTGAGCAAAAGCGAGACTCTTTTTCTACTGAAAATAGAAAAAATCAGCCAGGTGTTGTGGCCTGTGCCTTTAGTTTCAGGTACTTGGGAGGCTGAGGCAGGAGCATCACTTGAACTTAGGAGTTTTAGGTTGCTGTGAACTAGGCTGAGGTCATGGCACTCTAGCCTGGGCACCAGAATGAGACTCTGTCTTATTAAAAAAAAAAAAAAAGAAAGAAAGAAAGAAAAAAAAGCAAAAAAAAGACGTATATAAATAAAAATTGGCCAGACAAGGACCTGAACAAAAATTTAAGATTATGATATAGTATACGTTTATGTACAAAAAGAGATAAAGCAGTATATTTTATTTTTCCTCAAAATGTTTTTGCTCAAATATTGTTAGTAAAAGTTCCTTAAATTAAAAGAGAGAGGAAATTAGCACTAATATAAGCTGAAAATTCTTGCCATGGTATAGACCCTACCTGAGATAAATTATGTCTCATGTTTACATAATACTTCTAGATAATTATTTTCGTTTATTGTTTCAACTAAAATGTATTAAAGGGTTAAACTAGTTTTCAAAGGCTAAGGGGAAGAAAAGATCTTGCCAAAAAGTGAGATGCTTGCACTATTAAAGCAGAGACTCGCAAAAAAACTCCTGTTTGGGAGGAACTGAGGTCCAGAGCAGCCTGGAACTTGGCAAATTGCCATTTTGACAGATGGCGTGAAAAACAAGCAGTTAGGAGAGCTGGGTTATGCATCCTGGTAGGTGGAGCACTCAGGAAGCCAACAGCTAGTTCACTTGCACAGCCGCCTGCGTGAGCATCACCACGGTTGGGTTGCCTATAGAAGTGAGTCATGGGCTCTGAGCCTGGTAAAATAGAAGATAATTGGTCCAGAGCTATAAGGCAGGTTAGTATTTGAAGCCTTAAAGCAGGGGGGGAGGTAAAAAGTGTAGATTATAGGGCCTTCATCTTTATCTCCAATATATTTTGCATGATCACCGAATCATTGTAATCATTGACTATTGATATAAATAATTTGAGAACACTGACTTGAAAAATTTGTGGTAATTGCTCAAGTATTAGCTGGAAATGAATGGGTTCGTTGATTATAATCTTATAGTCTAAGTGTAAACAATTAGGAAGAATATAGATTATAAAGCACAAAATAAAACAGACTGATAAAAAATAAATTTGGAATAGATGCATTTAAATTCTAATACGTCATTCATTATTCCAGTGACCTGAAGCAAATGAGTTTCTTGAAGCTTCACATTCCTTATTGGTAAACTGATGATAATAATGCCCACCTTTAGAATATACTCAATAAATGAAAGTTATTAGTGATAAAAAGAAATATAGAGAGGAAAAACGAAGAATCAAATAGCTCAAGTGAGAAGGAGGAAAAAAAAATCCATCAGTTAGAATCAGCCATTCATGCTTTCCATCTATGTAAGTTTTCGACCAAATGAGTCACCTAGGGGACTACTTTCCTACTTGTCTGGTTTTCACGAAGAAGTATTTTTATTAAACATGGCTGCTATAATTCCCCAGTCCTATCTTCCTTTCTACCATGGTGGAAAAAAATCAACACGTGTGACAAGTTTTCACACTGTCGTTCCTTTTGTTTTGATTGGGTGAGCTAACCTTTCAAAAGCTCGAAGCAGAAGAAATTGGGTTCATTCCTCCTTTCTGCCATTTCCCACAAGGATGAGAAAACAACCTGGGCAGCAGTGTCTGTGCTGCAGACTGCCACTTGCCCTGGAATGGGCTGTTCATCAGTCTAGCCAGCACATTTGGCTTTCACACCCGAGCTCCAGCCTCCATATCAGCTGACATCAGCTGCGGAAGGTTAAAGGGGGAATCATGGCTTCTCTCTGCTGTCTGCGGATCCTATATTACTGTATTTTTCAGACTCACATGGGGAAGCCTGCTGTTATCTCTACCCTCTGCAAACTCCCTACAGGGAAATTTTCATACTTGAAAAATATCTTTTAACATCATTTCTACAGGCTCCAGTAATTTATTCTTTATCCAGCCACACCTAGTTAGCACTTATCCCCTTAAGAGAGGGGAGAGACAATTTCTGAGGTAGTAGATTATTACAGTAACATTCAATGAAAGACCCTTGTTCCAAGGCCGGCGTTCACCATTGATGGTGGTATGCAGGTCTGTCCACCTGTAAGGTTGGTGAGACTCAGTAGAATCTGAGCACATATAAGCGCCTGGAGAAGGATGTGTCCTGAGGGTTTCTCTATATTTCATTTTCTACTTAAAAACATATGTATCTTTGTTTATTTACTTATTTATTTTGCAGGCCGACTCCACACATTGATTGGAAAAAATTGGGTGGTGACTTACCAAAGGAAAGAGATACGAATTACAACAAGACTTTGAAGATAGAGAATGTCTCTTATAGGGACAAGGGGAATTACCGCTGCACGGCCAGCAATTTCCTGGGAACAGCCACTCATGATTTTCATGTGATAGTGGAAGGTTGGTTTATTCTTCTACTTAAAAAGAAGGAGTAAACTGGGTGGCGTCTGTGGCTCAGTGGGTAGGGCGCCAGCCCCATACACCGAGGGTGGTGGGTTCAAACCCGGCCCCAGCCAAACTTCAACAAAAAAATAGCTGGGCATTATGGTGGGTGCCTGTACTCCCAGCTACTCGGGAGGCTGAGGCAGGAGAATTGCCTAAGCCCAGGAGTTGGAGGTTGTTGTGAGCTGTGTTACCACAGCACCCTACCGAGGGTAGCAGAGTGAGACTCTGTCTCTTAAAAAAAAAAAAAAAAAAAGGAGTAAACTTAGGCAGTGAGCCTTTGCCTCTAAATCATATATGTTAAAACAGACCAACAATTTCAACTTTTAATTGTGGTGTGGATAACCAATTCTATTACACTTCAGTTAAGCAGGCTTGTCATTTATATGCTGCCCAAAAGCACATACAAGGGACAAATGACATGAAAAAAATCTCATGGTAGTTATTAAACGCAGATGATTTCTGTAATTTGTTCAAATAGTCATTAAACCTAGTTTCGTACATCATCATATGTAGTGTTATAAGAAATGATTTTATTATATGTGTATGACACCACATGATATCAAATCATAAAGGAAGTAGTGTGGTTTGCAGTGGAAGGAAGAATTGAAATGGGCCTGGAAGCAAGCTTGGGTTTTGTTTTTCAATCCTGTAATTAATTTACTGTGTCTATGGACACTTTATTTCCCTTTTCTGTACCTCATTTTTTTCATCAAAGAAGTAAGACAGGCAGACAAACTGTTGTCTTTAATTCTTTCCTAGATACAACAGTTCGGGGCATCTTTTGGGTTAAGACGATATTCAATATATTATTTATGGAACAAGAAGAACAGATTGTATACTGTATGTGCTATAAATACATGGGATAGTATCTCCACCCAAAAGTGCAAAAACCATATTATATTCAAGTCATCTTCTTTCTAGAAATCCAAGAATTTTTGTTTGTTGTATTGGTAGAAATATATCGACAATGATGACATCATTTTAAAAAGGGGCCAGCCACAGAACGTAGGTGTTGGGGCTACGCCTGGTTGGTGGATGTGAAGGTTTTGTAGTCCTTCTCTGCCTTTGATTGATGTCGATTATTTTCTGTGGCTCTGATCACACTGAGGACTTCTATCTATGGTTTAGTTGATTGTATTGATCAAATTAATGGAATGATTACTGCATTTGTACTCACTTAGTGCTGTGTACTTAACTATTGAAAGGAATTGTCTCTTTGAGGCTACCATCTAGTGACCTAGCGCTCTGGGGCAGCCATTAATATTCCAATAAAGCTCACCTCTTAAAGCTTCAATTTGCACAGGGAGCACCGAAGTAATGGCCTGTTGTTTTAATTAATGGAGGAGGAAAAAAAAAGACTCCACTCTCAAGTAAATGTTAAGATAATTGATTTAGTCATGCCCCTGTTTGAAATAACACTGTGTTTCCAAGTCCTCTCTGTAATGTATGTTGTTAGTTCAGGTAGGAAGAACAGAAGACTGAAGATGAGAATTTTATTTTCGTTGGCTTGACAAAAGCAGAACCTATATAGGAGAAAGCCCGAAATGATGCATTAACATTAACATTTGCCAACAGCGATATATTCCTGTGACATTAAATTATTCACACAGAAATTCAGAGAGGAAGAGTTTGAAGGATTTATTTTACCTCTATGTTAGGTCATCACTGGATATTTCCATGTAATTTGGCCACATCGTGCAACAGAGATATTTTTCTATGACCTCCCCCCTGCCCCGCTGCAGCTCTCTCTCTCTCTCTCTCTCACACACACACCCCCACGAACCAGACATGTCTAATTGTTAGCTTCTCCTACTCTAAGTTGCTGACTATTAGAAATCCTTCCAGATGGCTGGAACATTGCTACGGTAGCTGAATATTTTAACAATCTGGCCACGTTTTTCTCGACTGTAAGACTGAAGCTTTCAAAAGAATTGCAAGGGTTGCAAAAAAAGAGAGAGAGAGAATCAGAGATGTAAAATTCATTATGCAGTTTGAAATGTTGACTACAGGACTCCGAAGGAATATAGGTTTCCTGAAAAAACTGTTTTCACTATTCATAAAACACCTATTAGCACTATTGAGATGTAAATAATGTTTTTACAAGGAATGTTTAAACATCAGTGAGAAACTACTAAAAGTACCCTGAGTTGTGTGTTTTAGGAGTTTCTCTTTTCCTTTACACATGGGAAGCAAATTGAGCTGAAGAGGTCTTTTTTATTGTCAAGAGTGAAAGCAGTAAATACAACCTTCATTAATCATCTGGATGGATGAGTTCACTTTTATTCAATTTTCTTTTGCCTTCCTACACCCTCTCCTGTTCCTTTTTTTTTTTTTTTTGTCTTTTTTATGGAAACACAAATTAAATAACAAAGATTAGCCATATGGGAAAATGGACGATGTTCTTGGGCCATTTGAAAATCTAGCCCATTCTGAACAGACCCATTGTGCTTTACTAAAAATGTGGATTGAATTGTTTCCTTTCATATGATATTTCTTCCTTATTACTAAACATAGTGAAATCCTGTGAGGTTGTTGTTTAAGCTATAATATCCTAAATATGAACTCAAACTACATTTCAAATCCTAGCATATGTATAACCCAAACCAACCAGGATGTCTTGGCTAAGTGCATTTGTATTTTCTAGCTATCTATGATATAAATAATTACACATTCAGTAAAAAGAGATTTTTAGAATAGCAACTAAAACCTCAATCCAGAAATCAAAGTATGGTCACAATCACATTTCCACAGATTATTTTAAAATACGTTTCCAGCAGTAATTTTAATGTGGTCAACTTAAATTTTGTGAACTTTAGTTAAGTATAATAGGAAATGATACCCCCAAATGATTTTGCATTTTCAAAGAATGTCATAAATGCACATGTAATTCAATCGTTGATGATAACGTAAGAACACCTCATTTTCAAATAACAAGTCTATTCCTTAAAAAGCTGCAATTAAATCCAACAGTTGTTGAACCTAACAATTTTTGATTTATTATAATAGAGATATTTAATAAGAATCTGTGATAAAACAGTTTTACTAAAATACCCCACTGTGTTGTATGTTTTATAGGCATCCAATTTTCTGTTTTATTTTGTTTTTCTTCTAGTGATAGATATCCTATTTAGTTTGCTTGTTATATAATCTCAGTACTCAGACATTTGCATAAATCTATCTTCTTATTTTAGTATTTAAAATTATGAGAAAATGGGTGAAGTTTGAACATGCGTAATTTTCATCAGTTACCGTATGTCTTAGGATAATAGATAAAATAATGAGATTTGATGATCATGTCTTTTTCAAGGATGAGATGTATAAAAATAAATGTTCAAGCATTTATAAAGAAAGCTTATGAAGAAAGGTTATAGTAACGTTGATGGATGAAGCCTGATGAATGCTCGAAATTTCTTGAGTCAGTTGCTAAATATTGGGAGAGCCGGGATTTGGAAGCACAAAATAACAGTTGATAAATTGAGTTGGTCTTGGTTCCTGGCTTGGTTCCAAATTAATAAGATAGTAATGAATTAGAAACAAAACCTGTTGGCTTTAGAGTCTCAGTGTCGCTTATTTGTATGTCTGTTGCACAGGCACAGGAAATGGGGCTTCTTCTCTTAATGACTCTGGGCAAGTTACATGACTTCCGCAAACCCCAGTCCTCTGTCTGTAAGGTGAAATGGCTGCAAGATGTAATAAACTAAGTGCCCTTTCAGGCCTAACACCAATAGATCTTAGCCCAGGCACCATGTGAAATTTGAAACATGACAACAATTAGAAATTTCAATTTTGGGGGCAGTGCATGTGGCTCAAGGAGATGGGTGCTGGCCCCTGCCAAAAACTGAAAAAAAAAAAAAAAAATCTCAATTTTGCTATGCATGGAGATTTAGGGAAATAGCATCAATTGTCTTTATTTTTATATGCTCTAAAAACTATAATTGTAGTTTTCTACTGTAAATATGATAATGTTCATGTTTATGGAGTTTTCCTCTACCTTACAAATTGTTAATTTTATTGTGATTGTATGAATAGATTAAAAAGTAACAGTAACATCAAACGCTTTACCTCAGAAAGTCATCTACAGTTTATAATTTAGATTATTTGCAACTGAATGTTTACAGATGGGATAGATTATGAATACACACACATAATACATGTATATGTGTGTGTTTGAGTATGTGTATATATATACACATTTTTTTAACTTGGAATTTGACAATTAAGTCCACACCCTGTGGAATAATTACAAAGACACTTATTTTGCTTTAATTTACCAGGGTTATTTGTATATTTGAGTCTCTACTTATGAATTTGTAGGTATTTTCTTTTCACATAATCCTCTTTTTTTTTCTTTTTTTTTTACAGTTTTTGGCCGGGGGCTGGGTTTGAACCCTCCACCTCCAGTATATGGGGCTGGGGCCCTGCTCCTTGAGTTGCAGATGCCACCCCCCTCTTCTTTACTTTAAAAAAATATTTAAATGATTTTTAAGATATTTTACATCTGTATGTCTTAAAGACTTTACTTTTGGACTGAAAATGGAAATTTGAAATGTCTTAAGGGAAATAAACAATACTTGATGGGAATTACTATCCACAAGTTTTGTGCAATTTTCTCTGAAATCAAATCATCGAAACCAGGTACACTTTAATCTAAACCTTTTATTTGATCCTGACAGTGTAATATTCTTAAATTAACAAATCATGACAGCAATGTTTGAAGTAAAGAAAATGTCTCATTTTCTTCTGAAATACCACTTAATATTATAATATTAGAATTAGAATCAGGATAGGGAATCTGTGGCCTTGGGACCACATATGGCCTTCTGGATTATTGAGTGCAGCCTTTCAACTGAATTCAAATTTTATTAAAATGTGTACCATAGAGAAAGATGAAGACTTGCTTCCTTTGGTGCTTAAAAAAAGAACAATCTTGAAATCAGAAGGTCACAGGTTCCCTACCCTAAGACTGCAAAAGGCTAAATGTTACTTTTAGAATTTCCTCCCTCCCCCCTTAAAAAAAAAACCTCTTGGAAATGGTGTTTTCCAAATGTATTAGATGGCTATGGAGATACGAGGATATAAATGCTATAGAGTCATTAATTTAAAATAAAAGTTAAAATTTTCAAATATTTTTATTTTAAAATTTCTCAAAATACAATTCTTGAGTGTCTGCCTTTTTTAGAAGCCATGCTGCAGCTTTAAAATAAGCCGTAGCCAGCACTAAATAATCTTACCATCTGCTTATGCCTCTCTCATTGTCTTACTAGGATAGATACTTGTGTAGCTAAATAGAGTGGTTGCATATACAGTAACTATTTTTAGTGTACTGATTTATTATACATGCTGAGTCTAAATTAAACACAGACACCCCCAACACACCTCATACCACACAAATGCAATTTCCACCTTGCTTTGCAGTTTATCAAAAAAAGCTATAAGGAAATACTTTGTGGTGTCTGCCCTCTGCTGGTGTATCGTAGAAATACAGACCTTAAATTTTTGGACCCTTTTTTTTTTTTTAATTAAATCATAGCAGTGTACATTAATACTATCATGGGGTACAGTGTACTGTTTCTATATAAGCAGCTAGACGTAAGAAGACTGAAACTGGATGCACACCTTTCACCACTAACTAAGGTTGACTCTCACTGGATTAAAGATTTAAAATGTTTGGACCCTTTAACAATTAAATGAGCTGTTCACTTTGTTTCCAGAGCCTCCTCACTGGACAAAGAAGCCCCAAAGTGGAGTGTATAGTACTGGGAGCAGTGGGATCTTGTTATGTGAAGCTGAAGGAGAACCTCAACCCACAATCAAGTGGAGAGTCAATGGCTCCCCAATTGACAGTAAGTTAAACACCTTTTGCAATGCACAGCTGCAGGCGCTGGTTTGACGGGGTCATGAATGGTCAGACACCCTGGTTATGTGTAAAATGGAGCTGGGAAGTGGCTGGATTAGCAAGACAGATTTAATCAGAAAATCACCAATTGCCTCTTTCTAAGCAGAACTGTTATTCCTGGAAGAGCCGTGCATAATTTTATAGTGACTAGGTTCTTTCACGAATTATATATAAAGATAGTTTTGTTTTAAAGGCACCTGAATGAGAAAGAGGATACATTCAAGGAGGAAAGCCAATTGTTTCTCTCTGACAAGAAATAGGAACAGTAACCTACTAGCTGAAAGCACAGGTTGGAAGTTCAAACCCTCCCTTAGACCCAGGCAAAAGTGATGTCCTCCTTGGGCTCTGCCCTTCTCAGAGACCTGCTCAGTGCATCCTCTGGTCCTATTTGTCTCCTGATTTGAAAAATCCTCAGGGACAGGGAGACATTCCAACCCTGAACCTGTGCCCACTACTCTTGGCTCCCTGCCTGTTCTTCACCAAGCTCCAGTGTAAAAGCCTTTGTGCAGCCAGCCCGAGCCCTCTCCAGATGGTCTGAGCTTGGAAAGGTGGACCTTGCCCAGGGCTGGGACCTCCTTCTGCCACTCCACCATGCTCCAGAGTACCCCTTCAAGGAGTAGCAGGTCCTGCCCTTGAACCTGACTCAGATCACTGCAAATGCAAGCCAGAGGACAGAACATATTTTATGTATCAAATGATTGTCTCCATTTGGGTATAACCTTGAGATATATGAGCATGTATGTGGGTTCCACTTGTCATTTTGCTGTGGGGACAACAAAGGTCAAGGGTGAGCCTCCCCATGCTCCATGGACCTTGGATCTCACCTCAACTGTGCACCTTCCCACCTGTATAACCTTAAACTACTGAATCTCCCTGACTCAGGTTTCTGTAGAACGCACATAACGATACTTGGTTGTGGTTGAATGAGAAAAATATGGTTAGCCACTTAGGGTAGTGATTTATCCGAACAGCATCGTGTAGTTTATAAACGCTGGAGCCAGACTGCCAGTGTTTGCTTGCTGGCTCCACTGTTTCCTGGCTGCGTGATTGGAAGGAGTACTGGTCCTCTGAAAACCTGTTTCCCCCTCTGTAAAATGGGGGATGTAAATTGCACTGGCTCATAGGGCTGGTGCATGGATTAAAAGAAACACTGTCCAGAGAATGTGCGGTTCAGGGATCACCACACTAGCACCACTCGCCTCAGGGATTGCAACCCTAGCAGCACCCCGCCTCAGGGATCCCCACATGAGCAGCACCCCGCCTCAGGGATCCCCACATGAGCAGCACCCCGCCTCAGGGATCCCCACATGAGCAGCACCCCGCCTCAGGGATCCCCACACTAGCGGCACCCCGCCTCAGGGATCCCCACATGAGCAGCACCCCGCCTCAGGGATCCCCACACTAGC